GTGTGTGTGTGTGTGGGGGGGGGGGCACAACTTCCAACAGGAGTCATTTGGGGGGGCTCTTGGGGAAAAAGGTTGGGAACCACTGCTCTAGAGCATACCATCCAACCTCCTCAATAAACTCCAACATATCCAGAACTCTGCTGCCCGCCTCCTCACCAACACCCGCTCCCGAGACCACATCACTCCCATCCTCCAGAACCTCCACTGGCTCCCCGTCCGTCAAAGAATCAACTTCAAAGCCCTCCTCATTACTCACAAAGCCCTCAACAACCAGGCCCCCCCTACCTCACAGACCTGCTGCACCACCACACCCCTTCCCGCTGTCTCCGCTCATCAGAAGCCAACCTCCTATCCATCCCCACCCACATCAAACACCGGACCTGGGGGGACAGAGCCTTCTCCGTCGCTGCCCCCTCCCTCTGGAACTCACTCCCCCAACCCATCAGAGACTGCACTGACCTCACCACCTTCAAAAAAGTCACCTCTTCAATCTTGCTTTTAATGTGTGATTGTTTTTGTATTATTTGACTTTAACTGTATATTTATTTGTTGTTCCTTTCTTTTCTTTTCACTATATCTGTAAAGCGTCTTTGAGCACCTGTAAAAGCGCTAACAAAATTAATCTATTATGATTATTATTATTATTATTATTATTATTATCTGTTTAGTAATCCTGACCTCCACCATACAAACTAAAGTGAAAACTACAAACCAAGTATGTTACGTTATCCCCTGCCTTGTTAATGTATAAAATGTAAACATACAAATTGCAGTGAATGTCTACATTTGGCAGTCATCCCGTGGGCCGTATGTTTGACACCCCTGTTATACAGCATTCAACCGTGTGACTTCCTGAGACAGCATGAGGGAAACTGCTGACACATTACATACTACTTCCTTTGTGACATGCAAGTATGCATTTTCCAGTCATTTGCAACACACATTGTATCTATTTAGACCACTAAAAGGATTTTACACTTAATGTTCTATTTCAGGAGCGCAAGAATCTCTGGTGAGGTCACATGGGTGTCATGACAATCTGAGGTAAATCTTTAACATTAACTGCATTTAGACTGAAAGTGCTTCTACATTAAAGGGTACTGGTGAGAATACATTACTATTTGTTGGAGCTGTTCATTGATTTATATTATTTAATTAATAATTAGTCATTTATTTTCTTGCTGGTTTTGTTTATTTTAAATTAACCTTTATTTTGTGTAATTATTGAAGTTAGTTTAAGTTGTGATATATATATAAGATATATATTAGAGACAGGTGGAGGTGGGATTGGCCCACCACTTAGGGCACATGTTTTTACCAAGGAAACACACAGGGAGGCCGTTGGAAAAGCAAAAAGGGCAAGTTAAAGGAAAACCGTTGTAATTTTACTGTTGGATATTGGATCTCTTTGGAACAAACTCTTTGGAACAAAAACAGCATTCTTGCTTGGACTTTGGATACTTTCCCTGATTAAGATTTGCTATCTGGTGCTCCCGCGGCAGTTTTATTTTGAGTAAATGTTCTGTTTTACTTCTTTATGATTTGCATTACAGTATCCAAGTAAGTCTGTAGGGGTATCAAAATACATGCACAGAGGTTTATAACAATCACAGACACACTAAAATGCCCAAAAAACATGGCTTTCCGTCGAAGCATTCAGAAGTTAAAGTTTAGAAATAAATCAAGCACATTACGAATGAATCCAGCAGGAATGTGTACGATGGAATGTATCTCTTATGTTGAGGGAATCATCTTAAAGAAAGCAGAGCATGTCTGATGTCACACTGAAACTGTATAAAAAAGTGAAAACAGAAACTGGTTTCCACAGGCTTATATTGCTCATTGTGATCAGTGTCAGTGAAGGGTGAGAAAAACCTGGACATATCAAACTGCACCCTCAGAATAATGGAAAGCAGCAGGAAACCTAAATCAGTGAGAGAAAAATCGGTTCAAGAGCTTTGCTTCCAGCTGACCTCACCCTCAGTCTCCAGCTTTGGATCAAGAAGAGGGGTCAACAGAGGTGTGAAGGAACAAAGTAGATTTACTCAAGAACTGTACTTAAGTACAATTTGTGCTTTACGTGAGTATTCCATTTTCTGCCAGTTTGTATTTCTACTCCACTACAACTCAGAGGTAAATATATTTTCTTTTTTTCTTTTACTCCTCTACATTTATGTTATACCTTTAGTTACTTTGCAGATTTGGATGAATGATGTGAAATATAATCAACACTTAAATAAGACTTTAGGTACACCTGGACAAAATTCACAAACTACCCAGCGTTAAATCAAATAATACAAATGTGTTCCACCTTTACAGTAGCTTTGATAACACTTTAATGCATCAATAAGAAAATCATAACATATCATATATATCATTGTGAAATGGACCAATCTGCACAATGACTACTTTAACTTTTGGTAATTTAACTTTATTTTGATGCTAATACTTTTCTACTTTTACTTTAGTAACATTTTGAATGCAGGACTTTTACTTGTAACAGAGTATTCCTACACTCTGGTACTTTTACTCAAGTACAAGATCTGAGTACTTCTTCCACCTCAGGGTGTCAGTGAACCCACCTTGAGCCAGAACACCTTGGATCCATGCAGACGGATGGCACAGTGCTGCCAGGACAGATACTCATTGATGCGAGCGCGCTGCTGGAGGTCCGCTGGGTACCAGTGCTCTGGGGTCTGAAACTTCTGCGCCAGATACAGCAGGATGGCTGGGCTGGACAGAAACACACAGCTGGTGACTACACAGGACACACACAGGACACACACGGGACACACACTGTGGAATGAATGGGATAATGAGCTCTAGAGAACATTCAAACATGCACCTTTCAGTCAGGCTGAAGTCTCCATCTCGCAGAGCAGGGACTTTTCTTATCAGGCTTATCTTCCCAAAGTGATCTCCATACTGCTCACCTGAAACACACACACAAATTAACATTTTCTCTCTCATCCTCTTAATCATCTAATGACCCCCTAGAGATTGAGAGGGATACAAATAAGTATCATTTTGGTACACATACAAAACAAGTGTATTGTTTTGGTTATAAAGCCGTGGTGGAATGTGAAGTACTGTACTTCAGGTACTTTTAACTTCATCTGAGGCTCTTTGTTTTCATGCGAGTTGAAACTTCTATTCCACTGTATTTCAGAAGGGAGAAGAGTTTGTAAAATGACATGAATCGCAATCATTCACAACAGAAAGGGTTATATCACAAAACCGTAGACATGAACAGTGATACCACTCAAATACAAATATAGCTATTTTATTTACTTTTCAATATTCCAAGGTGGTTTGCTGTTCTAAGACCCTGTTCCACAGTTTGGGGGCCCCAAAGAAAGAAAGCAGCCTCCCCAGATTGAAATGAAATACTTTAGGTTCTTCTAAGAAAGGTGTTCCAGTCTCTCAATACTACGGAACAGGATTAGGGCCACATGATTTTTTTTTTGGGAGGATTTGAAAAAAATACATTTTTTTTTTGTTCTGAGTAAAAAGTCAGAATTCTGACTTTAATCTCAGAATACTGACTTTTTTCTCAGAATTCTGACTTTAATTTTTTTTTTTAAATCCTCCCAAAAATAATAATAATGTGGCCCTAATCCTTCCTCTTCCGTACAACACAGAGGATTGTTCTGCATTTAATTGTTTTATTTGTAATACTTTATTTATTTATTATTAATAATTTTCCTCAGATAACATTTTCGATGCGGAAATGTTCTTGTAACATGATTTTACAGTGTGGTATAATGCTTTAACTTCTGATCTGATTACTATTTAACAACACACTGAACAAATTCTAACACAATCATATCTTTCAGCCTGTTAAACTCATGCCTGTAAAATAAAACATGGTTTTCTTGAGAAAAAGTGAACTGGAACTCCACCAAAGTAATAAATCACAGATCTCTGTATTACAAACAAAACTAAAAGAGAGTTTCCAAATGCTGCCACCAGTGCTGCTGTAAGAATAAAAACCTGTGAAAAAGAGCAGCTTCTATAAAAAGTTATATGCAATAAGTGTACAGTTTCAGCTGGACTGTGGACCCTTCTTCCCTCCACCCTCAGCAGCTGTGCATGCTGCAGACCCTCCCGTGCAGACAGGCTGGAGGACTGTCAGCAGGGGGGGCTCCACTCACCGTCCATCAGCGAGATGTTCCTCACTTCATGCGGGATGTTGTTCTTCTTCGCGAAGATCAGAACTGAGCGGCAGGGCTGAGAAAGAAGGTCCAGGTAAAGCTCCACCGCCATGACTGCTGCAGAACAAACTCTCCCTGCTCAGTGCGCTGCCTGAGGAACCAAAGATCCTTTATTTGACCAAGATGGTTCACGTCACTGCAGCGACGGACGGGCTGACGGAGGGCCCTCCTCTCTACCAGCCTCTGACCAGCCCCCACACCTCCGCTACACTGCTTCCTCTTTCAGGCTCTTTCTTCATGTTGCCGGATTCTTTTTTTCATTCAGTACAATACAGACTGTGGGAATCTAGTTCAATTAACCTGCAGAGGTGGGAGAAGTACCAGAGTGTAGTAATACTATAAAGCAGTTCATAAAATAATATCCAGGGGATGCATGCAGAGCTGTCATTGGCTGAGATAAGTCCGGCCGTGCGTCACGACTCTTTGAAACATCTCTGTTCCCGGAAATGCCAACCACGAAGGAGTCGTGGAGGACCGTGGAGGACCCATCAGTGTATCCTCGGTTATAGCTCCTCCAGAGAGCCTCCTCGACGCTCGATCCTCGAAGTGCATTTAGAGAAATTAGATGTCCTTCAACATGCCGCGCTGAAATTCATTTCCGGGTCACTACCGGAGGACCGAGGAGTCGAGGAGGAGGATTTACTCTAGACTGTTACAGTAAAATTCCTGCATTAAAAAATGTTGCTCAAGTAAAAGTAGCAAAAGTATTAGCATCAGAATATACTTAGCAAAAGTAAAAGTAGTCATTGTGCAGATTGGTCCATTTCAGAATAATATATGATATGTTTTATAATGATGGATCATTAAAGTGTTCTGCAGATGGTCCATTTCAGAATAATATATATCAATCAGTTAGTTGTAATGACTTTGTATACTGCAGGGTAGCTTGTGAATTTACTCCAGGCGGAACTAAAGTCTGACTCAGCACTTGGTTATATTTCACATCATTCATCCACATCGGAAAAGTAAATAAAGGTGTTAAATAAATGTAGTGGAGTAAAAGTACACCATTTACCTCTGAATTGTAGTGGAGAATTACAAAGTATAGCAAAAAATATGGGAATACTCAAGTAAAGTACAATTATAGTGCTTCCCACTATAACTGCAAGTGCTAACATAATAGCAATGTTTTGGGGTTATAGGCATATACAAAATATATTAAGATCAAAAATATCAACGTCATGCTGGCTTAGAGGGAATGGCTGCCTGTGCTTTGTTGTCACCAGAGAACAGAATGATGCTAGCAATATCCTAACCTTGTACTCCACTATATTTCAGAAAGAGAAGAAAAAAATTATAAAATGACGTGAATCATAATAAGTACACCAAACAAAGTATATGCCTACTATCACATAAATTATTAGCCAGTCAATTATAACAATTTTTAAATCATAATTAATTCAAAACATAGTAATTGTTCAAGTTTCTCATCTATGATTTTAGAACTTTTCTTGGAACCTTGTGTTTGTAGTGTGGTATTAGTACTTTAACTAAAGGATTGTTTTACGTTCTAATAAACCTTGTATAAAGCGTGAAAACAATGACGGACACAAGCTGAGAGTTTGCATTATCCTTTTACATACTAATGATACTCATTTGTGGGGACCACAGCTTTAAAAACGTTACATTTATGAGCTAATTTTTGTCTCTAAGAATGTTTGGATGACAAAGATCACATTAATTTAGCGTTTAGTTGGTTTTGACGGAACAAGCAGACAGAGCATACAGGTCAGAGTCCCGCTTAGCCCACGGCTGTTTGGAAGCTAATGAGTTAGCTAGGAAGTTTCAGGGTTACAGAAACCTTTCAATGTGTTGTTAAACCACAAACACATGTGGAGTAGATGTCAGAGAAAAGAGAGCTGGGGGGTGTGAAACAGGAATTCAGTGAAAGTAGTATTTAAGAGTGAATCCTCTTGCTACCTCTCTGTACTCTCCACAAGTGAAAAGTTTAACAAAACGTCCAACAGGAGACCGTGGAGCCCTGGGTGGAAGGTGACAGCTTACATAACTCAAAATGATCTCTAGGCTGTTTGTCTTTAAAAGATAAGTTAAAGGGTTAAGTAACATTGTATTATACATGTTTTTCACACATAAAATATGATCAAAAATAGGATTTAATTGTACTGATTAATAATTGTATGGCTCTGTGAAAGATTACAGAAAGTCTGCAGACATAAATGAACACATAAAACAGGAATACACCAATTAGAGGTCAGACACTAATGCATCTCTAAAGATACCCTCCAAAGATAATGTCATTAGTTCAACTAAATAAAAACATATACAAAATAATACTCAGGAATTCAAAGATTAAGAATGTTTGTTTATTGTGTTTCAAATAAAATGCCACTATTCAATCTAACCCGCTCTGGGTAATAGAGGGATACAAACTTTTTATAGGTAATGCATTACTCGTGAACTTGTTTCAATCCCATCAACAGAGTAAAAAAAAAGGTTAATCCTAAACTAAATTGACTGGATAAAAGGCTAGGAAGATCTTAGTGTTGGCAATCATCAAACTGAAAAACAGTTTATAGCATTTTACTTTGTGTTAATGTCTAGATTAGATTACAATGGGAGTCCAAACTCTCAGTACAATACCGACATTCAGTAATATGTGACACAAGTGATTTCAGGGATAGTAACAAAAGCAACAGGTCTTTTAATTATTAAAAATAGAAGCTATCAACATCATGTTTTACTGCAGATGTCTAAAACATGAACTAGACAGCTCGCCTGGGTATTACATGAATACAGTACCTGACCTTATTATGACTGTCTTTTACTTGGTGTTTGTTTCGGACTGATTTATGCTGTCTTTACTTCTTTCATGAATCACATTGTGTAACGTCTCCACCACAGCAACGTCTTTTACAAGAAGCTCATGACGGTCCCCTTCTTCCCCACCTGGTGAGGCTGCAGCGCGTGGAACTGAATGGTAATCCTGTGAATTGGAAATGAGCTCAATCATAATGCAGTACATTCATTCAAATATAAAAACAATAAGGTTTAAGTAGTGCTGCTCTCAGTCTTAAAAAAAAATCGGTTCAATTATTATCCCTGAGAATCTGATAGCAGAGTTTACTTTGGAGAACTGATACCCCCTTTCCCACCAAACTGGTTCCAGTTCTAGCTGTTTTAGTTCGGAACTAGTTCCCAGTTTAGGAACCATTTGTGTTTCCACTGCCTGGTGCCTGACTGGTGCCAGGTCATGACATTACCGTTTACGTTGCTGATTTTCTCAGCAACGACACTCACAACAACAATGGCAGATTGTGTCGGGTCAATACTCAGATTAAAGAACGACTTCTCCAACGTCATTGCTTATTAGTTTATTAAAGGTCACCTGTCATGCTATTTTTAGGCAATAGCATAGGTCTCAGATATATACAAATATATTAAAAACATGTCTATGAAGTGTTTTGCTCGAAATACCGAACAGATCACCCATTCTAGCCATGCCTCATACCCCTCTATTTCACTTCCTGTTTCAAAAGTGCTGATTGTGGGTATAAAGCTTTAAAAATATATATATAAAACAGAGGGGCGGAGCTTATGCCTGCTCATGCGGGAGATTCTACCGGCCGATACTGCGGTGATGAAACGCCATATCATGGATTATCAAGGATTCTTTCTGAAACAGTATGGAGCTCAAAGGCTTTCTCTCTTGCCGGTTATACCACAAGGTGAGTTCCTTTTTATTTCCTGCTTCTTCACACACATGCTCTCCAGTACAGGTTAGCTCTGAGTGTTAGCGATGCTAATGTAAACACCGACCATATTATGTCCAAAACAGTCGGGCATTGTTTCTGATAGCAACGTTTCTGATAGTGCTTTGGGTCTGCATTGCCAATATGACGTCATATCGGACGCAAATCTGGATCAGCTCCGTTGTACCCCCGTTTTTAGAGATTTGGTTATGGAGGAAAAGAGAGTGTTTTATTTTCTGACGCTGCGCGAGTTCCCTGACACATCGGGGACACATATTTATGTATAAAAGACATCAAAAAGTGCATTTTGCATGATAGGTCCCCTTTAAATTCCTTGTTTACCAATGTGGTTCAGCGTAATTTACCGACCTACAGTGATCCGCTGCTCATCTAGCGTTGTTTATTCTGCCGTTTACTGACGGGAACGGCTGCTGGAAAGCAGTAACTCACTGTCTGAATGTAACAAAGGAACTGATGCATATCCCCCATCACTATCAGGGAATGTGTTTCAGTCTGAATTGACTCTGTTTGGCATCATAAGGTGATCATTTTCCCTGGTATTAGATGTGTAATTTTATCTTTATCTTGACTACTTATTGCAAAAAATATTCCAAATGCGAACCGGGGCCAAGATACAGGAAAAACTGGTTTAAAATCGGGCACCAGCTCCGAACTGGCCCTAGAACCGGTTTGGTGGGAAAGGGGTAAAAGTGAATCAGTAGTGTCCTAGATGCACATTTGCACATGCACAAGACAGTCCAATCTGCAGGAGTGATTTCTACTGACAAAAAATAGTACAGATTATCAACAATGAATAATAACAGCAGCAAAGACCAGGACAAGGCACATACTCTACCGGGCAAATTTAAATCCATTTGAAACATGAATCACTTGACATGCAAATATGTAGTGTAGACCCAGCTAGCGGGGAACGTTCTCACAACTTCGGCTAACGTTACCTATTGGTTCTAACAAGGTTTTAAAGAAAC